ATATATATATATATATATATATATACAATCTTTTATTTTAAAGTAAAAACAATCGTTTGCACTAATATGTATGGTTAAAAAAAATGATTAATGTCTTTGCCACTTTTTATAAAACTAGGTTGTTTCACAAGAAATGAATACCATAATTAAGTCAGTGTAATATCTTCATTTCAAACTTTTCAAACAGACATATAAATAAAAATATTTTTTTGAGTTGGATAAAATATAACGGTCTGGACTTTAAGTAATTAAAATCTTCTACCAAAATTATTTAATTTAAAATTTTATTTTTAAGTCAATGTCCAACATTTTATATTGGCTCTTTCCACTGTGCGCCGGTGCTGCCACCATCGGAGAATATCGTAAACAACTAGTATTTACAAATACACAGGTTTAAATAGCGAGTATACGAAAAATTTATTATATAATTATTCTAAAAATGTTAGGAAGTATAATTTGTGAAAATCCTAATATTAAAAAAATAAATATTTTGATATTTTCAGAAAGTCTAACTTGTATTATAATTTACTATTCCATCTAAAAAACTTTTTAGATGAGTTCAACTACGGTAGCGAGCATAGTTTTAATCACCGGTTCTGCTAGTAGGGCCATAATTGGGGCTATTTCTACACACTAGTCGATTAAAAAAGTATACCATTAATATTGCAAAATTATATTTTAATTTTATCCTCTCATAGTATGTCTATTTAATTTTTTGATTATGTAACGAGCACTTTGTTTACTCACTTGTTTTGTGGAACTGTTTGAATCCATCCATTTTTGCTTTTGATCAAATCGGTGTGAGAAACTAAGAAGCTATAAAATGATTTGGGAGAGTTGAATATCCGGAAAAGTTGAGTTATTGAATGTTATTGCACCCAACAACGCCCTAATTACGCTCTCCTTTACGCGTTAACATTTTTTTGTCAATTTTATTAACATTTGAAATTGTCACAACGCGACGACGCACAGTGCTTCGAACATATGGCTCTAGAGGACAAAAATGCAAAACTTCTCTTTTATTGTAGGTAATTTATTCAAACTAGGTTTATTTGACACAAATGATAGGTACTCTCATTGTACTAAATGATGATGTTCTTAGTCCACGTTTATGAAAAAAAATCTTATAAATAATAAAATGTGAGACTGTGTTCCATCTAAAGGAAATAATAATTTATAGTATGAAAACAGTTAGTAAAATTATTAAATAAATCCCTGTGATAAAATAGAATTGGAATAACATTAGAACATAATTCCTACAATATAAGCCAATATAAAATAAAAATAAAAAATGTTTTCTTTAATGAAAAGTATTTATACTATATTTAATTAAAAAAACTTACCCAAAATACTATAAATTTACTTTAGGACAACAAAATGCATAGATCGTAACTACGTACTCTGATTCAGAAGAATCACTGCTGACAGAATCTTCAAAATTTATAGTATCCAAATCCCAGGTAGATGAAAAGAATATCCCTCACATATAAGATATTTCTGTACATGTTTTCTAATATGTTACTTTTCGCGTTGTTACTGTTCTTTTTGTTGGTATGGGGGGTTCGGATGTTAATAGTTACCTCTTTAATAGACCATATCAATATATTATTTTTCGTTTTCTTGGGTATGAGGTTTTATAATAAATTGAAGATGGTGAAACTTTTTTTTTTTTTTTGCA